AGGCAGAGTCTGCTGCGGGCAAAACATCGGCGTGTCTCGCAGGGATTTCGTCATGAGGCAACTGCTTGTGAAATGATGGCTATACAAAGACGTGTAACAGCCAACATTTGTGACAAACAAATCTACTGACGGTCGCAAGCATATCGGCGTATGCTAAAGGCAGAGTCTGCTGCGGGCAAAACATCGGCGTGTCTCGCAGGGATTTCGTCATGAGGCCAACTGCTTGTGCAATGATGGCTATACAAAGACGTGTAACAGCCAACATTTGTGACAAACAAATCTACTGACGGTCGCAAGCATATCGGCGTATGCTATAGGCAGAGTCTGCTGCGGGCAAAACATCGGCGTGTCTCGCAGGGATTTCGTCATGAGGCAACTGCTTGTGCAATGATGGCTATACAAAGACGTGTAACAGCCAACATTTGTGACAAACAAATCTACCGACGGTCGAAAGCATATCGGCGTATGCTAAAGGCAGAGTCTGCTGCGGGCAAAACATCGGCGTGTCTTGCAGGAATTTCGTCATGAGGCAACTGCTTGTGCATGATGGCTACACAATAGCGTGTAACAGCCAACATTTGTGACAAACAAATCTACCGACGTCGCAAGCATATCGGCGTATGCTAAAGGCAGAGAGAGTCTGCTGCGGGCAAAACATCGGCGTGTCTCGCAGGGATTTCGTCATGATGCAACTGCTTGTGAAATGATGGCTATACAAAGACGTGTAACAGCCAACATTTGTGACAAACAAATCTACTGACGGTCGCAAGCATATCGGCGTATGCTAAAGGCAGAATCTGCTGCGGGCAAAACATCGGCGTGTCTCGCAGGGATTTCGTCATGAGGCAACTGCTTGTGCAATGATGGCTACACAATGGCGTGTAACAGCCAACATTTGTGACAAACAAATCTACCGACGGTCCGACACCAGAATGTAACAGCCAACAGCGGAGCGGTGAGGCATAGACTAACAACCTCATCGGTGCGTGTGGGAGTACATCCGAAGTATTTTCTCAAAGGCTTCAGTATTAGTGAGGGTATTGTGGGAAAATATGCAGTAGACAACCCTTCAACTGTATGTGAGTGTGCAGCGGGCATCGGTGAAATGACCACACCGCGGTAACAGCCAGAAGGTGTAACCGTAGTCACGGACAACAACAAGCTGTGCGTGTGTGTTGCCGCAGCTGCCACTACAGATGGAGGGAACTATGGACGGGCTACGTACATATGTATGCCACCAATCATTCATGATGTTTCGTAAGGTATGACGTACGATGTGAGGACCGGGCAACAGCGGCAGGCCTTTATCAATAGAGCGGCAACATGAAACACCAGATAGCCATGGTTGGTTGTTGTGGGCACGCATTCTGTTAGTGTCCGCAGAATACATACTTCAGTATATATGTACACATGTAGATCCGTGCCAAGAAGGGCTTCGATTTTTTTTTTTTTTTTTTTTTTTTCGACGTGCATACAGTACACATGCACCCCCGACATCGAAGTGTGAACCACCAGTATGGTACGACCAGACCTTCATCGTAGTCTTCTAAAGAGAAGCGCGTGTAGCTCGTCCTCAGATGCACGAGAGGGCGTGAGGATTCGCACAACCTAACAACAACAACAACAACAACAACAGCAACAGAAATGTGCCCCCTTTTTTTTTTTTTTTTTTTTTTTTTTTTTTTTTGAACACTTTCATCACTTTCAACACTTGGCATATTTTATAAAATATTGAATATTGAGCAGCGCACCTCTGGTTTTGCGTGCGCTCGAGTCAGCAGAGCGATCAGCTCGCGGTCGTCCCTCTCGTGCGGGCTCTCCGCCCTCCCGCTGCTGTCGCTCGGCCCCCCACTCAGGTCAATCTGTGCTTGCATTCGCTGCGCCAGCTCCGCATCATAATAAGTACGTCGCCGGGGCGGCGGCCGGGGCGACAGCATCCGCCGGTGGCGCTGCCGTCGCGGACCGCGCCGCCGAACCTCCGAAGTGAGCAGGCAGAACAACGTCCTCTACTGCTTCCAGCAGCACACAGCCTTCTGACTGCAAGAGGCGGCCATGGCGGAGCGCGAGTTCCACCGTGTACTCGGCCAAGAGCTTCTTCGCCTCGGCCTGGCGATAGGCAACGGACTTGTCGCCCGCCCGCGAAGTGGCCACCTTCCTGGCGCGCGCCAAAACTGCCGTGTAGGTCTCCGCCCCGGCAAGGGGCGGCAGCCGAGTGGCCACCTCACCCAAACGGAGGACCAACTCCTCCACAGTGCCCTGATCGCAACCGAGCCGGTTGCGGTCGAACACCCGCCCAAGGTCCAGCGTTGCCCCGGCTCCCGGCACCAGCGCCGTGTAGCACGGCAGAGCGTAAGGCCGCCGTGGTCGCGTCCACAAACGCGGCCGTCTGGCGGTCGGGCCGGGGAGGCAGCCCAGGTGGAGGCGGGGAAAGCGGTCCCATCGGCGCGCTGGCAGCCGCTGGGGCCGCGGCAGCCGCCGCCGGGGCAGCAGCCGCTGAGGAAGAAGGCGCCGCCGCTGAGGAAGCCGTTGTAGGAGAAGCAGCCGCCGAAGCCGCCGCCGTGGCGCGCCGCGTGTTGCGAGGCGGCATGTTACGACTCTCGAATATATCCCTTCTCCTCTATAGCTCCGGCGTATTTCGGGAGAGAAAAGGGGGACTGAACTAGGTGGGGTCATTTTCCAACATCCTTTCTGGAATATCTGACTCTTCTCGATTTCGTTCCGAAATCTAGATGCGTCTCAAATCCGAGATTACGATTGAACTCACACGGTCACCCTTTGAAAGTAACTGGACGACGGTGACCTTACGGCGAAATCTCCGAAAGAGTCCTCACGCGCAGGATAAAGCAACTCGGGTTCAATATGTACTACAGTAGATGACGTCTAACACAGATATATGTTTTCGCTTACAACAAGTAGCGCACGTGCCTGGTGTACAGATTCAGACCTCAATGTCAATCCTCATGCATGGACGTGGAGGGCTCGGCTTGTGTAACACTTTCATGTGAGACACGCCGTTGAGCAATGACCGGGCGGTTGCTATGCCCGGAAGTTATTGCAACCGTATTGATATGAATACTTCACGTGGTAGCCCGGTGTGGTAGTCGACATATATTTGTTTCACTTTGTCGACCACCGCACAAAACAGGGTTGTTGCACACTTAGGACCGACGGGCGGAATCAAATATCCCGACTTCGCTTCTTTGCTTTCAAGTGCACCCCCGTGCGATGTGACGAACTTGTGGGACGCTGAATAAGACCACCGGAAATTCGGGGTACAACGCTCCTGCACACACCCGAGACAAATTGGCACACCATCACCAATCAGAGCACAACACGAACGGATGCATCCGTGTCGTTCTACAAAAGGCCCTGAAATGCACGATGTAATATCTACAAGTAGACTTGGTTGCTTTCCTTTGACGTTGACGGATCTCTTTCATGCGAAAGAGGTTGCCAATTTGCCAAACCAAGCTACTGCAAGGGTCGGGATAAAAATCATGTGTTGCAGTGCTTGCCGTACAAAAACGACTGATGGGTTTGACGCGGTATAGGTGAAGGCGTTGCCAAATCGGTAACCGTCAGGTGCAGACAGCTTAGGTGTCTGATTTGGATAAATGTTACTCTGTGTGATTGCCTACCTGTACGTACAGCTGAGAGAGTAGCTGTACAGCGACTGCAGTGGCAGTGCAGGTGCCTCGACGTACGGTAATGCACACAGCTGACGCGACCACTAGTTATCTTTCCCTGGTGTAGGAACAACATAACATTACTTTCACGCAGTACATGCCCTACCATTTCTTCACCCTAGTAGTTGCAATCGGTCCTTTCCTCCCCCCGCACCGTCGAAGGTGGGTCGGCGGGGGCTTGTACATTTTCGTACTTTTTCATGAAAAGTTTCATGGAAGTCCATGGACTTCCATGGACTTCCATGGACTTCCATGAAACCGTTCCATGGACTTCCATGGTCTTCCATGAAACATTTCATGGACGTCCATGAAAAGTTTCATGAAAGACCATGGACTTCCATGGACTTCCATGGTCTTTCATGAAACATTTCATGGAAGTCCATGGAAGTCCATGGAAGTTTCATGGAATTCCATGGAAGTCCATGGAATTCCATGGAATACCATTAAACTTTTCACGGTATTCCGTGAAAAGTTCCATGGATGTCCATGACATTTTTGTCATGAAACTTTCCATGAAATAATTTCACTCCTTGTCATGAAACATTTCATGGAAAAATTTCATGGACGTTCATGACATGCTATGAACGCCCATGAACGTTCATGAAAAAAAATGTCATGATAGCCCATGAACGTCCATGGAATGTTTCATGGACCTCCATGGTCTTTCATGAAATATGTCATGAACATCCATGAACGTCCATGGAATGTTTCATGGACGTCCATGGTCTTTCACGAAATATGTCATGAACATCCATGAACGTCCATGGAATGTTTCATGGACGTCCATGGTCTTTCATGAAATATGTCATGAACATCCATGAACGTCCATGGAATGTTTCATGGACCTCCATGGTCTTTCATGAAATATTTCATGAACATCCATGAAAGACCATGGAATGTTTCATGGACGTCCTC